TTCAATGTTGGAACGAGATTTCATTCCAGTGGTCTTCTGCTAGGCGCCGTCTTGTAGAACTTACTTGACTTGCTGGCCTTGAAGAATATGGTATCAATGTGTGACATCAAGCGATTCCACAAGGTTTTGATTTCTGTGTGCTCATTGGCGCCGTGAGATAATTGATCCGACCCTACACCCATCAAGGGAAATTCCGGGGATTGAGTGACGGTTGTGCGAACTTTGCTATAACTGAAAATTGTATGAACCAAAACACACCGCGTGATCATACCTAGGTCAATCCCATCCGGATGTGCTATGTTGATTGAATCCACAACTTCTCGTGCTTGAGTTCGACTGAGACCTCGAGCGAGTACGGCTCTCGCTTCCCAAAGAGCGTCAGGGGCAAAGTTATAATGTGGAAGATCGTCCTCTAATACCCGACGGAAAGTTTGACGGATGGTTGAGATTTCGGGAATATCCTCTATTTGCCAGTAAACTTCCCAGTAGCGCCCTAAGCGTGTCATGGCAGGCTTTACTCGTCCCATGTTAAAAGGAGACCTCCAAAATTGTAGAAATCGCATGAAGACTTGGTATTGCCTCCAATTTTGCACTGGCAGGCCTTTTATAACTGCAACGTTCGCCCGACCATTGTTCATGGCTGGAGTGTACTGGGAGTATTTAGCCACCGTTCTGTCCAACTCTTTTGTGACTTTTTCGTCTAAATGTAGACAAATGGTGATGGTTTGATCGATTCTGCGTGGTATCTCCATATCTTGACTGGTCGTCGGACCGGTCTTGGCTGTCTCGTGTCCTTGGTAGCCGCTGGCCTTTTCGGCAGGCGGCTTCTGGAGTTCCCCGAGGAAATCTTTATTGCGTGGCAGACTATTTGCGAAAAGCTGGACTTGTTCCTCGCCTATGGCGTTAACTTCGGGCACAATCTGTGTAGAAGTGGGATTGGGGGTTGTTTCCAATGTAGTGATCGGTTGCGTCGCGGCATTATAGGGTGAAGGTTCTTTAAATGCCGTATATCCATCACCCTCAAGTCGATTTAAGAACTTCGTGAACATTCCGAGGTGTGCGTCAGATTCCTGCTGTATGCCCCCGCTGGTATCCTCCATCCTCTTCTCAGTTACTATATCGGGACTCGAATCCTTGACTACTCGGCAGATTCCCATGTTCGTATCAGTTTCCGCAGTATACTGAGGATGCGACGCATGAGCGGAATCACAGTTGTTCAGACTCTGAGTATTATTCTTGACTCTAGTTGGCTCAGCTCTTATTGGCGATTCACTGCTGGACATTGCTTTGCAGGTCTGTGAGAACTTTCTGGTAATGCCTCGACGTAAGGAAATTGACACATTGTTAGGACGAAAGAGTCTGGCAGGCAGGGTAGATGGTACGACACATCTCGGCATATGAGCTGTGCGTAGCCACATGTTCAACAAGTAATAAGAAGGGAGAAATCCACCCAAGTTCTTTGCCGCAGATTCGAGAATGAGTCCAAAGACTTTATGTGAGCTTAATAGGTAGATCAACGCTTTCACCTGATGATCTGATACTACAAAAGAAAAGATTGACTATACAAATGTTAAGATATGAACATATTGACTGAAGTTTGTTGAATATATCGTACACCCTACGATATATTCAAAATACGTTGAACTTGTAACTGTTTGGGTCTGTACTGGATCTGAATGTCAATTGATTATTTTTGCAACGAGCTCTCAGCCACAGATACGTCAGATGACAACAACCAATGAGATCAATTGTACGATCAGCAGCCACAAAGAATCTTCGTACCTCAGGCATCAATAAAGGTACCATTGCACCGAGACCGTGGTATGCACTTTTTCAGACGATTCAATTAAAACGGATTCACAGTAAAGCATAAAATTAGTCAAAAATATTCTTGATTCTTATTCACGCCGCCTGTACCACGCTTTTTTCCTCATTCAAGGACAATAAAATTCTGTTCCCCCATTGTTCAGATCGCAATTGGAAGTTTTGACTGGTGAACTTTCATGTCATATTGATCAACAAAGATCTTACTCCAGCATATGCCTCGATGACACTGGGTGTGATTTGGGTAGCGGGTAGAACGAAACCATAAGTTCCAGTATCTCTCAGTTCAGTGGTGAAAGAGAAATCAGCACCAACGGTTGCATCATGATAATCTACGCTGTTTCCAGTGGCTGCATAAATTGTGGAACAGATAGGACCATATGTGAAGACTGTTCCATAAACTGCTTTCACGGCAGCAACATAGCCTGCTGCAAGAGATTGGTGCTTGGCATTATTCTCTGGTAATGCAGTGCAAGAGTATCCGTAGGCTGTGAATATTGAGTTAGAAAATTTGTACAATGTTCTTTGAGGTTGATTCGACTTACGAGACATCATGAGTTGAGAGTACGAGTGGAAATCAATGAAAAGTTTTAAGCCTTGTGCTGCCTTGATCTTGTTGGAGTATGCAGCAAGTGCTTTAGTTTCTTGGGCATCAGCTGCAGCAACTCCTATATTATATTTAGCACATTTTTGCCAGATAACCTGGGGCCAATTGACAGTACATACCCCTATAATCTTCAGCGCAAGGGTCCGTGGAAGCTCCACCAGCAGTTGACCACTTGTACTCCCAATTTCGATTGATATCCCTACCATAACAAGTTGAAGAGGATGGCGGTGTCTGACGATTCTTACGCCACAATCGATTTGTACTTTGTGTGTATAAGAAGCCTAAGGTCGAAATTAGTTATGCCGGATAAGCAAGTCCATCCAACTTACCATCAGGATTTACAACTGGGAAAATATAATAGTCATATTTGTCAACGAACCCTTTGATCTCCGTGCTGCTGGCATAATTTGAGAGAAGGTTGTACGCCATGTATTCAACAGTCTATAAATGTTAGTGCTGCTACATTGTTGAAACTTTGACTATTGACTTACCAAAGTTGTGATCCACTCTCTAGCATGCACAGTACCGTGGAAAAGCACGGCTGGCTTAACTCCCTTGCCGGAACTACCATAAATATGAATACCAGTAATCGGATTGCCTTGAATGGAAGTTCCAGCAGTCACAATCTCAGCGTTTGATGGATGTGCAGTGACAAGATCCTTAAGGAATTGTATGTGGTCCGCATAGGCATGGTATGCTGTGAACCACGTAGCATTTGGTGCAAGGGCTATTATCTGTTAACTATAGCTCTAGATAACAGAAATGACACTTACCAGCCTCTATGGAATATGTATCAGCGTGCTCCTCTTCCGCAATAGATTCTCCAAGGTTGTTGTGCATGACCTGTTTTGAGAAATCTTCAGTAATTCTCAAGAAGTTGTCGACCTGCTCGGGTGGTACAACCACATCAGCTGTTCCAAGTTTGGCAGACTTTTTCCATGTTTGAAGGTTTAACGAAGAGACGATGTCCTCGATTTTCTCGATGTTGTTTTTTTGAGCTTTGAGACGGAAAACTTTGTAGCCATCATAGTTGACCTTTTCTGCAATAGCTACACCTGCAGCAGCCGCTGCAGTAGCAAGAGTGAATATTTGAGAAAGCTTCATCTTTGCAGAAGTTGATGAATACAATTAGCTAGGTACTAGGAGAGGGAGAATGTTGTTTGATATAGAACTCTGTACGGGCAACTTGCGGTTACCAACGGAAACTTTTTTGGAGGAGTTCCTGAACAAGAAGCTCATAACTTCATCAATAAAACTCATCAAAGTTACACATATTGAAGATACACATTAAACAAATCATAAGATCAGACTGAAGAAAAATCTGTAGTGACCGGCCTCGGTAGATCCAAATAGGAAGCTGCGATACTTTGCCGAGCATGTTATCTCTTGTGCCAAGGGGGCCAAGACGTTTAAAATAAGGTTAAATTGACATTGCCTTCCGCATTGTGCGGGGAACCTGCATCTAGGTTCAAATTCACCATTTTGTTCTAGAATTCCATTATCGAACTTTTGAAGATATTTATGACTTCGCATTGTAGCTTGGCTGACTGAAATACAGGTGAAGTTCGGCCAGTGCAGGGGTGTTTGAGGCGCCCACGAAGGTCGTGTTGAAGTATGTGAGATTTGCCTGAATTGATTACGCTATGAAATTGCGTTATCATTGGGTTTCAATACTTGATATCTTAGCTCCTAAGCAGACAAAGCTTTCTTCAATAGCGCTGATAGCGCTGCATGCACGCACCCGCCTTCCAAATCAAGCATCTTCTAAGCACTGCTTTTACATACCAGATTGCTCGATTTCCAAATGCATTGCAGCCATTTTTACGACTGAGTTAAGGCAAACCTGGAAGAATCAACGAGGAAGGTGATGGCGTTTATAAACTTCAATTCTTGACATCCAATATCTGGCCTATCTCTTGGACTAACATGATTGTACCTGGTCCCATGTCTATCCATTCTTTAATATGACATTCCAGCATACCCAGCCACGTCAAAGCTGGTCTGTAGCCGTGACCTGAATGTCCCATTAAGGAAGCTTTAAAACTTTAATTATCAAGATGCGAATCACGGCTTGTGGGGCAGTATGATTTCAGTTGTACGCACAGCTCAAGCATCGAAGGTAGAATTTTCGGATGGCGACAGGTTTGGCGGCAGTGCTCTGACCGCCATAGACAACCACAAAATATCATCAATGTTTATCAGACAAGAAATTTATGTCTGATATACTGCCTATGAACAAGTCTGCGTCTTCTACGAGGGTTGTCACAAGGTCTTTGTTTGACAATTCGATGATTAGTCCAATGTTGCAATGTCAAGCTTCATGCTCATGTGCTCAAATGCAAAGTACCTTGAATTGACATGACACCGCAAAGATTCACATGAGATAAGCCCAGAATTTTTGCAAGATGGGATTTATGTGAATGTTTGCCCTGATGGCTAATCCACAGAATAATGAGATTTGCCACTATCCAAAGTACGTGGACTGTGATGAAGAGGTGAAAGGATCGTCAAGTAATTCTTTGACTCTAAGAATCTAACTACTCATGTCTCCATCTTTCACCTCACTAGGCTATTCCCTGAATGCCGCCTCCATCGATAACGCTATGTGTCTCGACGCCGTAGCCCTAGGCTTTGGCGTGTTTGGAGGTAATACGAATACATACCTCACCATGAATTTGTCGGCATCGGCCTGTAAATGAGTAACGATTGTAGGAACTGGCGGGTCGGCCACTTCCAGACCTAGTAATATGCCATAGTCATATAATGGATGACGAACAGCTTTGAGTGCATCGCGAGCACCCTGTTTGAAAGCATATCGCCATGATACGCCCGGTTTTCCAGCAGTCCAGATTTTTTCGGTCTGGAAACCGTTTTGAAGGATAGAGTGAAGAGTATTGATTGCAGTGCCGTGCCATCGTACCGACATCTGCCCGTTGTTTTGAATAACAGCTGCGTTAAACCGATCTCGGATTCGTGCTGGTGGATTGAGGACGGCAAATTGCCATATATCGTCTGAAAAGCCAGAGACTTTCAAAAAGTCGGGTGGAGTAAAGTAGTTTTGCCCAAAATTCATCTGCATCCACTTGACCAATCGAAAACTGGTTCAGGATGATTTTCCTGAAGATATGATACCAGAGCTTCAGATGTTAACGTCTTGGATTCGGGGAGGCCTCGAAGAAAAGGCTGTAATATCTGAACATCAGAGATAGAATAATCGGAGGGTTTGAGAAGCCGACGTTGATGGTCGATTTGATGATAAAATGACATGAGGAGCAGATAGAGCCCACGATGGTTGACCTCGCAGACTTTGGCCATGGCCTTGCCCCATTTTATGGCAAGCTCTGATTCTTCCCCATGATCTGACATATCCGAATCTTCTGTCCTAATTTTGTCTGCTAGATCGAAGGGAATGGCGAGGGTTCGCAAACGATTGCGGATTGTACCGGTGTTTTCGTGTTTTATATGAGGAGGATTTGAATCTTCGAAGTGTTCGTTTCTACACATGATGGTCTCTTTGGGACTCCTAGCGGCTGACTTAAGGAAGCGATGAAATGTATGGGAAGCATACAGGTCGAGACAATGGTAACCAGGATGTGCAGCGGGCATTGCGAAGTATGATTATTGGAGAGAGTGCAATGATTTATAACGGAGAACCATGCTGTCTTAGGATATTGGCAGGTAGGAACATCTGACTGAAACCACTCGTACCTAGCCATCCATGTATCCATCGACCAAAAGGGCTGCTAGGAAAAGAAAGGAGATTTTCTAGAATCTTCCCACATTCGATGGTTATCCAAGTTCGAAGTCCCTTGTTAAAGTTATCGTCGTCTTTGACGTTCCCGCATAGAAAATACGCCATACAAAAGCACTCGAGCTGATAGAACTTGTAAGAATGCGACTACATACTCTTAATCTGCTACAATTCAAAACAATAGTCTTTGTTGAAAGAATTAGAATTTTCCTCGACAATCCAGAACGAACCTTTTGGGCAATCAACTGTCGAAATGAAAGATGAGATCAAGAACAAGCTAGACTGATACAATGTTATTTACCCCCAAAAGAAGAATGCCGAGTACGCCATCATCTCGGGCTATATGAAGTTCGAATGTTCCACGGTGCCACTCGAGATCGATCCTTACAGAAGGCAGATTGCACCCCAGCATTGAGGGCCCAAGTCTCCTGTTGAGAAGTCAAATCGAAAACTACTCCGAGTGGATTTCTGTGATGAAAAAACCACCTAAGGTTTCAACGTTACCCATTTTTTCACACCAGGTTTATCAAAACACATCCTAATATCTGGTAATATCCACTCGGTATGTCGACGCGCAAAATCCTCCAGTCTCATTTTCAAACCTGGAATTTCGTTCTCGTCTATGAAATCTTCATATACTCTCAAGCTCAATTTTCTTAATCCAGTAAATTGCATGACATCTTCCCAACAAAAATCGCTCGAATCCCAGAAATGTAGCTGCGCCCTGCACTCCAGATTTCGGACCTTTTCTACATCATTTATACCCTCCAAACGACCCCCAACCAACATGAATACGCAGTTGGAACCCGCCTGAGTCAGATTCAAGTTGTCTCTTTCAAAATCAACGTATGCTGTTCCTGCTCTGCGGTAAGAGCCAAAAGCTAACTCATATCTTGTCAATCCGACCTCTCGTGCCTCGCTATTGACATGAAGTATTGTCGGGATAGCGCTTATATCATCACCACCATCGATTAAGCTAGCGCTGTCAACAAACCAACCCCGGAATGAAAATCGCCCTATAATGCCTCGATGATTTCTGGATTTGATGTGTAGATCCCGAGGACCAGGTATGCAATGATGCCAAATTTTGAGACGGAGTTCCGTTGGAAGCTCCGAAAAACGAGAGAACGTAGTGAGCTGTGCCGGAGACGGACCTGACGGCTGCGATATGCGTTCCATTGCAAATAGCTTTTATAGTTTAGCAGAGCACAAGGGAAGAGACTGGAGGCGATCTGGATAATGTTGATATCGAGATGCGTCGTTTATGGAACAATCGTTCACCTGGCGCAAGGGCGGCACCATGAAATTAATGAGGACAAATATGACAAAATCTTCAATTGAAGGAAATTAAATTCTGAGCAAGGCGCATTGATAACATGGAGAAATCAGACAGGCTAGAGAATTTTATTTATATTCAAAATTGTTAGATGACGCGTGGTAATCTTGGCTAGGCACCTAGCTTTAGGTATACATTAATAAGCAGTTTGTTCCTTCCACCATTCCCCGTTGCTCTCTGATAATATTATTAAAGCGGCAGCACAGTGGAGATAGTACTCTTGAACGGTGTAGTGGGGGAATGCGGGGTCGCATCTGGGAATATAAGTGCACACTCCTAACATGTTAATTTATTGATCTCCAAAATTTCAGTAGCCCATCCATCTTGATTCAGTCATAGAAATCTATGAGTATCATGATTTTAACTGAACTCTATTTCATATTGTCTAAGGCTACCTAACGACTTACAGAAGAGCAAATAGCTTTGCAGCCATAATGTTATTCTACGGATTGTCACTCAGGTATTGACCAAATGAATGAATGGGAGAAACATCATTATCTGTTGACCCCGATATGATAAACAAGACTCCCAAAAATCCTACGAGAGTATCTCAAACTTATAATCTTCAACCCCTTCATCAGTTCGCTTACGCACAATTTGTAAAAAAAATCTTCACCATTTGACCCACACCACCCAGTTGCGGATTATGTACCCACATTGCGAACGCTTTTTCATGAAGTTCTCTCAGAGCAAAAGATGAAGTAAAAAAGGCTGTTAATCTGTACAGGTAACGCTGAATAGTACAAAAGAAACTGGCAGCAAGGCCAAAAAGAGATGACCAGACTGGGGCACGATCCCAGGACCTTGTCCGTATTTAACAGGTGTTAAGTGTTAAGGACACGTGATAACCAACTACACCATCCGGCCGTTTGTGATATTTGTTGGGAAGATCACTCCAATCTAAAAATATATTGAGATGTTGTGTAGAGGGGTTATGTGGACAAGATGTTAGCAAGGAGGAAAGTGGGGTCAAATTCCGACATGGATAACTGATTAACTAGCACCATTCTCATAATTGGACCTCACAGACAAGGTGCTACTCAGTGTTGGAAAGATCCGATATGTCAAAAGGTCATGAGAAATAATGTTACTAGAAATTATATTCTACAATAATACGTGATTGTACAAATCTCCATTCCATTCAGCTTAAGCTTCACCAGGCCAGATGTCATCCGCAATACTTCTAACCAAAAGTAACTTGTTTTTCATATCTTCCCACCCTAATGAATTACCCTCCTCGTGACTAGCAAACCCACATTGAGGGCTTACTCCCAATCTCTTTAATGCTTCTTCTCTCGTTTGGCCTGCTCCTTTTGCTACGATATCGGCAGCTTCCATGACTCTTGCCTTCATCTTCTCTTTATCTTCGAGTTCTGGAAACTTTGAGGTGATGACTCCAAGAATAACGTTCTTGTGAGATGGGAGGTAGAGCAGTGGCTCAAAGCCTCCGGCCCGTGGTGTATCATATTCGAGGTAGTATGTTGCTACATTCAGGTTCTGAAAGAGCTTAGTAGCAATACGATCATAACCTCCTTCGGAAAAGTGACGTGATCCCATGAAGTTACCCCTGCAAATGTGTAGACCAAAATGCATTTTAGAGGCATGTTTCTCGATGCTGTCGTTATAACACTTAATATAGGCATCAAGCAACTCTTCAGCAGTTTTGGTATTAGAATTGTCTTCCTCCCAACCCTTCAACATTTTCTCGGAACAGAAATCTTTCAAATAGTTAGCTCTTGCTTGTATTTACGTCGCGTCAGAATACCTACATGCGAAATTTGGGTCATCAAACTGCACATTTCTGAGTCCAGCTTCGTACAAGATATCCAACTCTGCACTGACAGCTTTCGAGATATCTGAAAAATATTCCTCATCGTTTGCATATACTTCTTTGGGGAAAGCCTTTCCATCCTTATATCTGAGATGATACCACGGTGGGGCAATCATTGTCAGTTTGATGTCACCCCATCTCTCTTCAGGTACAAGAGTTTTCAAATATTCGAATTGACCAATGAGTGTCGACTTTCCAGTGTGCTTTATTTTGCCGGTGCAGAGGCAAGATTGACCTGGCTTGTGACCTTTCTCGATAAATCCAGCGATATCAGGAACATATGGACGGAAAATGTCCATAGAAGGGTTGCGAATTTCGGTCATACCGTCGAGCTCCTCGAAAAACGTTCCCCAGAATACAGCGCGTCTGCCATCCGTCTTAAGTAAGCATATGTGCCACAGTTGACCGTTTAATGAAATTATGCGAGACGACGAACCGATATTCCCCATCACTAACGGCCCTAAATCCGCACTCCTTTTGCAGCTCTACTACCTGCTTGATAGAATCATTCTCAATTTGTGTAAGTTCTTCCTGGCTTAGATGATTCTTCTCGAAAGCACCACGTTTGGTGAGAAGCTCTGTTGGGCGGAGAAGAGAACCTAAATGTTCGGCACGAAAGGGGGGATTATGGTGAATGGTCGCCATTTTGATGTATCTTACAGTGAAGAGGCAAATATTCAAGAAGCAGAAGAAGTTTGGGTACCTAACCTTCAATAGTGGAAAGAGCAATGCATATACTTCACTCCCCCCGCTCGACTCCGCACCAGCCGCTGTCACATCCGCAATACCTACATGAGTGCTACATCGGCAGATGATATATATGATCCTATTGGGAACGAAGGCAGTGGTATACGATATATGTACCACACCATAACCGAAAACTTCCCTCAAAAATCGAGGTTTCTGAATACCAAGACGCTTGGTGCTTGTGAGGTTGTTGATAAACGATTTACGTCGTCCGATAGCCTCAAGCTTTCATTGAATTGAGGGAATACTGCGGAGATAACATCGGATAAACGTTTGCCGATAAAAAGCTAAGCTCTATCTATTATCCTGCGCGTATTCGTGATACAAACTATTAATACACCACCCACCCTGATTGCAATCAATCTACATGAAGCAACGGTTATCTATCTGCTTGTCCTATTGAGGGCGGCGTGAGAAATTGAACCCCGCATGAATCATCCGGAAAATGTATCAAATGCGATCAAATAGACGGCATACCGCCAAAACGGCTCACATACATTATGCATCTCGCAGGTGTGCGTTCTTATCACTGATTTGCTCCATGAACCATGGATGATATAGCATTTCTTGTACCGTATACGTTGATTGTATCGTACTCCGCAACAACGGATGTCAATGAAGGAGTTGGTTGGGCGACACGCACAATCTTTACGTCAACCCTGCGGAAGCTTTCAATTGACAGCTATAGTGGGGCTAATTGATGCATCCACTGCGTCTCTTACATGACATGGTCACCGCCAATTTGGCAGCCCAGCACCGCGCTTGTATATGCTTCCTACATTTACTGAGCTTCAGTATCCTTCATTCGTTCTCGTGTCATGTCGAAAGTAGGTAGTGAGCTACTGAACGGCAACCGTATGAGGCCTAGACCCAACATAATGTCTTTACCAGTGGGCCTGCAGGATCGCGGGTAGTAAAGCGTGGTGGGGGTTGGGAGGCTTAGGGTTGGGTTAATCCTGCAAACATTTCGATCATCTATCAACCCTTTTATCTGTTTTGCCACACATCTGACTGCATGAGTCGTCGATAATTCACTATCGCAATCATGCGAGATACCAACCACTACCCTGGGAAGCGCGTATTTCCTACTCAAAATTCGCGCAGCTCCTTATCAATTCTAAATGACTATAAAATTTCTCTTATCAGCACCTTTTCTCAATTGTCTTTGTATGACTTTTTTCGCAAAATTTCAAAAATAATCCAGCGAGGATGCAAGTTCAAAGCATCGTTGCAGAAGTCATTGGACTGGCTGCTATCGGAGGTTTTACAGTTCCATCGATTGTAACGATCTCGCGTACTCCATACCGACGAAAGGGTACTTCGAGCTGGGGTGACAATAAGGATGGAAACACAACCACCGCCAGTGAAAACAGTTTCAACTCCAAGGCCCCAAAGATATGCTTGTCTATATTTATTATCTTGGGTGTCTTAACGTTTGTTCTGAAAACCCTTCCATTTGGTAGTACTACCTATTTCCTTGAGCAATTTGCAACTAATAGTGTGGGTTGGGTGAGTGTTTGATCTAAAATATTTCACAGCAGTGATGCTAATTATGATAGATCTTGTTGACGATACAAGTGTTCGCTGTATGCTATACGAAAGATACTCTCGTGAGCTACACACAAGGCACATACACTGCAGCTTCTTGCTTTGCTTTCCTTTGTATGGTCATCAGTGAGGACCAAGAAACTCTGAGAAGCCCATGGTCGATTTCTACTGCCCTATCTATTGCCCAGATGACTACTCTGCTTGCTGTTGGGACCGCGAGTATATCGATACCACGACGACCGCAGGTTTTCTATCATGGGAGGCTGGTTCTAAATGAATTCAACGTTTCTTTCCTCAGTCGATTCTCATTCTCGTCAATAGGGTATTTGCTCACAAAGGCGAAGCGGCAAAACAAGTTAGATATGGAAGAACTCCCAACAATGCACTACGCAAAAAGATCGAAGACTCTCAGTCGTGCATGGATGGCTAACAGTAGCACTGGTCGATTGTGGGTGAGGTTGTTGAAGGTGTATAAATGGTCACTTATTTTACAAATCGTTCTCGGGTTAATCCATGCTTTTCTTGCCATTGGCCCACAACTAGCAATCTTCAAAATACTAAACGCAATGGAGTCAGGGCAAACTGGAAAGCAGCTAGGATTCTATATACTGGCTTTTGGGCTTGCCACCATTTTAGCTTCTTGGGTTGAAGGTATGTGTCAATCACCAAAACCTATCTCTATTATCATTGACCTAACATTGCACAATAGCCATGCAAGATATTACAAGCACGAGCCTGGTTTCTGTTCCAATGCGAGCTCAACTATCAGCTTTGATATTCGAGAAAACTATGCGGCGTAAAGATGCAAAAGGCAGGCCTGCAATGGCGGAAACCGAGAATGGCATTTCTTCTGATGAGATCGACCCTGATAAAACATCCCAGAAAATTCTCAACTTGATTGGAGTGGACACTGGAAGAATTTGTGATTGTGCCAGGCAAACGTTCGAAATCGTTCAAGCCCCCGGCCGGATCATCATATCTGTAGCGTTTCTGGTTACGTTATTGAGCTGGCAGGGAATTCTACTTGGCTTCTGGTGCGTTTACCTACGTCCCCATCCCCTCTTATTAATGATTTTCATTTACAACCCCGAGACTAACTTACTAGTTTCATCATCATAACTTTTCCCATTACACGTCGCTACGCAAAGAAATTTACAGTCTCGCAGGGGTTTCTGATGCAGACTAGAGATAAGAAAGCTGCAATTATTGGCGAAGCTCTTCAAGGGTTCCGCCAGATCAAATTCTCCGCTCTTGAGGATCGATGGGAAAGATCAATCATGGCAATGCGAGACATTGAGCTTACAGCAACCTGGGATGTTCTAATGTCCAGAATAATGTTGATTTCATGTTGGATTTTAAATCCGCTCATGACCGCCGCCATTGCACTGGGAATCCACTCATATATTTACCAACAACTAACACCCGCACAAGCGTTCACTGCCATTGGAGTATTTCTGCAATTGGATCATTGTATGCAATGTCTCCCCAACATAATAACACAGACGATTGCTGCCAACGTATCGCTGCAACGTGTTGAGAGTTTTCTTAATTCGCCAGAACTCGGGAACATTCTTTCTAGCCCAATAGAACCACTCGTACCCACAGACTCCGATTTGCCTGTGATAGTTTTCGAAAATGCGAGAATAAGCTGGCCCACCGACACCGAGTACTTAGATAACGAAAGTGATCGGTTTATTCTTCGAGATATCAATATCTCATTCCCAGTTAACAAATTGACAATCATCTGCGGGAAAACTGGTTCCGGAAAAAGTTTGTTATTGAGTTCAATGCTTGGCGAAGCAGAGCTTATCTCTGGTAAAATTAGGGTACCGGAAAGGCCACTTGATTGTTATGACCAGCACGCGAATAAAGACAACTGGATTGTTCCGAACTCGATTGCTTTTGTTGCACAGATCCCCTGGATAGAAAATTGTACAGTCAGAGAGAACGTTCTATTTGGCCTTCCGCTAGATTTGAATCGTTATGAACAAGTCATTGAAGCTTGTGCTCTGACCAAAGATCTTCAACTCCTGTCAGACGGGCATGAAACGGAGATTGGGACTGGTGGAATCAATTTAAGTGGTGGCCAAAGAGTAAGTAATACATACCCGTACTATTCTCGTCGCATCTCGAGTTTTCTATTGCCATCAAACTCAACTTTATGATACAAAACTAACCTATTGGTGATGTAGTGGCGGTTAACTTTGGCAAGAGCCTTGTATTCACGTGCTGGAATTGTTTTGCTAGACGATATATTTAGTGCTGTTGATGTTCATGTTGGCCAGTTCATCCTTAATAATGCTCTAGTCGGCAAGCTGAGCGCTGGCCGTACTATCATATTAGCAACACACCATTTATCTTTGTGCAAAGCGCATGTCAAGTCTATCGTAGAGCTTGAGGATGGTATTGTCAAGCAATTTTCTAGCGTTCAGGAATTGGAAGAATATCTTGGTGCACCCGTCGAAAGCCTGGATGATACTGACGAGACTCTAATTGCTATGGAAGACGATTTAAAGGAAGATACCATCGTAGGTACATCAGGCTGCAATTCTCCGACGACGAAAAAGACAGATCCTCTCAAGTTTGTTTTAGACGAATTTCGCAAGGAAGGAAACATCGGATCTTCAGTTTATTCAAAATGGCTCAAGTCTTGTGGTGGATGGACTATCGGAATTATTTTCCTTCTGATTTATACCATGACCACCTTACTTAATCTTGGTAAGATATTTTCTTCTTCACAATGATTTATGAGGATAAACACTGACACTCATCTTTAGGCCGAACATATTGGCTTCGATTCTGGACTAGTACCGATGGTGAGAACGAGCGCAATCTACATGCAAGGTTTGATCAACCGCAAATTTTCATGACTTCTTCGACGTTCGATAGAAACGGTACCGTGCCATCATCTGATGTGTCAGGAAAACACAGCACAACCTTTTATCTCGGAATCTATTTTGCCCTATGCATCGCCATGAGCATCTTCCGTATTTACGGTTATATCTATGCATACAAGCAGTGCATTCGGGGTTCCAAAAAGCTCTTTAAGACAATGTTATTCAAAGTTCTAAGAGCTCCTCTACGTTGGATAGACACTGTCCCATTTGGAAGGGTTATGAATAGATTTACCACTGACTTCAACACAGTCGACTTTGATATTGTTGTAAGTATAACTATTTCCATCGATATTCCCCTTGATTGATTGATTGATTGATTGGTCTATTCAATGGAATTTTTCACGCTGGAATGCTCCTATTTCTGACATTTTTGCCTCAGGATACGCTCACATGGGGAGTCGGTGATGTTTTCAGGTTATTCGGCATAGCAATTGCAGGGTAAGTAGTAGACCCTCGTTGAACACACCTCTGCTAATGAGATAAAAAGGATGTTCTTATCACCATATGTAATATTTCTAACAGTTGCTGTATCTACATTCTCCGCATATTTAGCGCTCCAAGCTATTACAGCCGCGAGAGCAATGAGACGCTTGGATTCGACCAACAGATCACTCATATTCGAACAATTTCGAACAATTTTGATTGGCATAACTACAATACGAGCTTTCGAAAAGAGAGATGTTTACCTTGAAAAGGTATATCGTAGGATCGATGATGCAAGCTCAACACTTTGGAATACCACGTTATGTCATAACTGGCTCGTTTGGAGGATAGGAGGCATGGCTTCGGCGGCATACACAATGTCAATCGCGGCGATTGTAGCCGCTACTGTGACTGATGCAGGGCTTGCAGGTTTTGTCCTTGCTATATCTTTGGAATTTTCAAGTGCCCTATTTTGGTCACTTTTTCATGCAGGTTTCCTGGAATTACGAATGAACGCGGCGGAGCGTGTGATTGAATATACAGAAATGCCTACAGAGACATTAGATGGCGAAGAACCTCCCGCAAGCTGGCCAACAGCTGGGTGTTTGGAAGTGAAAGACCTAGCCGTTGCATACAATCACGATCTGGAGCCTGTCTTGAAAGGATTGAACTTCAGCATTGATCGACAAACGAGGTGAATATCCGGAATCTGTACCTCCACTAAACTTCAAGTCTAACATGATATTAGGGTCGGGATTGTTGGTCGCACTGGATCCGGAAAATCTACGCTAACCTTGGCACTCTTTCGTTTTCTGGAAGCGAGAGAAGGCAGCATTGTTATCGACGGCTATGATATCTCGAAGCTAAAGCTACAATCTTTGCGCCGTAATCTAGCCATCATTCCTCAAGATCCAGTGTTGTTTTCAGGTTAGAGCTCTCCGGATTCTCGAAAAAGAAAAAGAAAAAGCACTGACAGAATCTTAGGCACACTTCGGAGCAATTTAGATGCAGATAATGAATACGATGACACAGCGCTCTTCGACGCCCTTCGCCGAGTCCACCTCATCAATGAATCTGACTCCGGTATATCAACCCCATCATCGAACACATCTCAAAATCAAAACATCTTCCTCTCCCTAAACAGCTCCATCGCCGAAGGTGGTCTCAATCTTTCCCAAGGCCAACGCCAACTCCTCTGCCTCGCACGTGCTATTATTTGCCGCCCCAAAATTCTTATTCTCGATGAGGCGACGTCTTCTGTAGACGTTCAAACGGATGCGCTTATTCAGCAAAGCATTCGCGAAGAATTTGTAGATAGCACGCTGTTGGTTATTGCACATAGACTTAGTACAGTAGGGGATTTTGATAAGATTCTAGTGATGAATGATGGGCAAGTAGCCGAGATGGGAAGTCCAAAGGAGTTAATTGACAAGAAGGGAATGTTTTGGGGTATGGTGAAAGAGAGTGGAGAGGTGGATAAATTGGTTGGTATGAGTAAGGATTCATAGAGGATTTTGGTCGGATGCTCTCGTGCATGTTGACTAGATTGGAATTAATGTATGCAAGAATGTCAAAATTATATGTCCTCACTGTAACAGGTTCTATCCTTGCGTTGTGAAGCATTCCTCCGATGTTTTATTGGAAACAAGTACATTTCACGAGTTTTCGAAAACTCAATATCACGGGAAAATTATGTTTGGACTTGGCACAACAAGATCTTTCCGAAAATCATTTTCATTTCATTTAACATACTGTTCTCTCCACCCTACATCTTTACAATATTTACTCGAACACATCCTCACCTCCCCACAACAAAGACCCAAAATCTGGCTCCTTCATCGTCTACTGTTCGAGAATCAGGTTACAGGAATAGCACGATGACTAAAAACACTAGTCCGACCAAGAGCTGCTCTCCAGACCGGCTTACTTTCACTAAGAAGCACTTTCTCTCTCAAAGCACTCGCGTTGCGGCATTGATGCTCATGGCCCATACCATCTATCCCATCCACCACTTTGCCCATGGCGTTTGTCGTAGGTTTAGGAACTTCAAGAGTATCATCAGCCGTGCATATAATTCCCTGATAGACAGCACAAAATTAGTTTAATAATACTTTCATGCACAAACCCAAAAAGATGAATAACCCACCTGCGCAATGTAATCCAAACAATGCAAAAAATGCAACGGATTCTTCGACCACTCTGCCCCCTGAACCTCATGATCATGATTCATCGGCCCCCCAAATAACATCGTTCTAATCATGCCCAAACAATGCAATTGATGAAACATGGTTACTCCGTACCCCTTCGTAACCCCCTCTCCTTCATCTACTATGATGAACCCGCCGTTGGGAGTGAGAAGATATTCATCCCAGTCTACATCCTCCGGGTCTCCGAGCGCGGCTTCGAGCGCGGGGATGGGGGTGAAGATTTTCGGGTAGAATTCGCTTTGGGGGATTGAGTTCGCTCCGCTGGTGTGGTCGTGGGCTTCGGGACAGATTTGATAGACGATGAGATTTTGGACGGGGGCGAGGAAGGGGAGGAGTTGTTTGTGGGCTAGGAGAAGGAATGTTGATATTATTGCTGTGGAGAGGAAGATGGTGGATAAGATGAAGCGAAGACGTGAGCGAGTGCTGGGTTTGAATTTGTTTTCCATGCTTGCTGTGGGTATGTGAGTTTTGTGATCGAATCTTTAAAACTAAAAGTCAGGAGCTATGTTTTCTTGAATACGGAAGAAAAGCAATGGGGCATACATACACTGAGCCTTATGCTATAACGGCCGGAACACACCTGGATCTTCAATCTGCAAGCAGGGATATAGAACAAAATGAAAGCCACAGGGTTTTTATACTTGGAGAAACGCAAAATGCTGTTTACTGGTCATGCCTTTGAATGCTATAACAAAGATATGAGCTGTGATTTACTCGCTCGGAGCAGATACTCGAACCCAACTCTGATATTCAAGACATCCCGAGTATTACATAAACTGTATACTTAACACTAGAGCGTACATCGGGATCCGAACGAGCATTAGTTGGCTCCAACATTAACAACCCGAAACACTCTCCAAAAGATCATCAATCGCACAACGAAATAATAAAACACCGATTCGGAAACCGTATCGTTATCTTCGTAAAGTACCTATCGAAACTTGTTTTCAATCCTAAAGATCCCCCTCGTTACGATAATTATCCTTGCTGCAACGACCATCTAATCTCTAGCGTATGTCGCACACGTATATCCACGTGTAGTTTCCATCAAAACATACCTAGATAATCGAAACAACTACCGGTTGTGCAAAGCTGATAAGAAGATCATGTTGTGTAGCGAGCAAGCGAGGATTCGAGTCCAATAAAGTTCAACATGACGATAATACCAGATCAACCCTCTTATCGACACGTCATATAAATCTTTACTGTGTTATTTTGATGAGCTGATTGCTGCAAGGAAGTGATCATGAAGGGGCGGGATTTACATAAATTATAAAGAACGATAAGGAAATTTTGTGTGCTGGCGGAAGCTGTGTTGGGTTCTCTGCAGATGCGGTTGCAAGCAATGAAGAATATGTGATATGACATCTATGAGGGAAATAATCATGAAGGAAAATCAAGATTCTGTGCAAGTACTGTAGTACTACAATTGATTCAAGCCGAAAGCTCTATCTTTTATAGAATTCCTGGATTGGGCCGTTCCCCATATTCTTTGGTTGCTTGACAAGCCATATTTCAAAGACGAATGCTTATGTCTGTTTTCGTGAAATCTGAGTGTGAGATTTTTCAATTTTTCAATCTTCGAACCGTTTTTTTCCTTTTTCCACAGAAGTCCAAACATCATGTCAGCTTTATACAGTCCCGAAGCCACACACTACGAAAGTCTCGAGGACCAAAAACTTCCCAAGTCAGAGAGAGAAGATAATGATGACTTCTCTAAAGCAGACGAAGAAGTGTTGTTTCTCGAGCGTCATGACTTCCCCTCTCATCAAAAGCAACACAGTCATAAGCGAAAAATCTACATCGTGGCCGCCGTCGCTATATTCATTGCTCTCGCATCAATCACATTCGGAACATACTCGACATTACGTTTTCAGGCCTTGAAGCATAGTTACAACAGCGAATCTACTCAGCAGCTATCACCATCAGAAGCACACTCCCACGAAAGCCACGGAGGCGGCCACGAACACAAGCATGAGCACTCTCCCGTCTCATCCACTCAAACCAGCTATTCCTCACGCCCGGACCTAGATTGCGGCGACAGTGAAACCACTGCAAAAGCCGCAGGCTGCACATTTAACGTAATGGCGTTCTCATATGTTCCAGCCGCATGTAGCGGCAGTGAAATTATGAGCTCTTTCGTCGACAAACATGCCAATCTACCTCTGGACGGAGCCGGAATCTTCCCCTGGTACCGCTGGTCCAACCGGACCGAGCCTGTCCCGCAAGATACAAACGAGCTTAGTAAATATCCATTTATTTGGACGACCCATGAATGGCACATTGCGCATTGCTTATACAATTGGGCTTTAACTACCGATGCGATTTCGAGGGTTCTCGACAACGAGAAAAATGTTTGGATCTTGCAGGATGCGGTTCAAGGGGGTCATATCGCGCACTGTAATGGCTTGGTTTCTGATAGAGTGACAAGTGGTCTGACGCCTTTGAGAGCATTCAGGGCAATTGGACGTTGTGTAAAATTAGATACTGACGGTATTGCTACTTTGAGCAATGATCCCTATAGAAGCCATGTGGATTGAGATGTTCGCGGTTTTTGCTTGGCGCAAGAATTTCCAGATTTATGTAAAGGAATATAAGAAAAATAGTATATAAGACAGAATCTGAGCCTACCTTATAGGCTACCAGCAGACTTTACAGAGTTTACGTGATATAGAGCCATGCATTTGCGCAGTATTCTGACTTGCTATTTACCAACTGTGAAAAATGGTCCAACTCTGAAGCCCGAACGGCCATTGTGATATTTGAAAGATAGACGGTATACATTTCAAGCATTTAATAGTAAAAGACAAACAATTCGATAAGAGGCAGCCATGAATGAAGAGCTTGGGTTTCGCACAAATGCGTTGAGAAACTGCCTTGAGCCACCAAACATGTATGCTTTTAAGTTTCCCAGTCCTTCACTTGATGGCCTAGGTGAAACCACTTTCATATGCTACATACATGAAGTTCAATAAATGAAAATGTTTAACGAGAAACTCATTTCACCGAAAATAAAACGAAGCTCATGGATGAACGCTGGGCCAATATCGTAAACAGCCACTTTAGAGATAAGTTCACCGTTCATAGATGGTTTCGTTTAGTATACCTGCTGTGCCGAGTCACTCTTCAAAATCCACACTCAATTCAATATCCTTCCATCCTTCCCGCAAAAGTGCATAAGAAAACTCTGCCACTATGCCACGACCTTCGATTTCTATGATTTTCTCCTCTTCCACAAACCCTAGATTTCTCAATGTCGAGCGCATCGGTTCATTATCCCTCATTGTTCCAGCGACAGCTTGGAGACCAAATTTAAGAGTTAACTGAGTCAAAATACTAGTCGTTAATCTCCCCAATCCCTTGCCCCTCACCTCCTTATTCAGAACCACGCCGATGTTTGCGACTCCTGGCTTGACCACAAAAATATCCCCAAACCCCACAACCTTCCCATCAACTTCAACGAGGACCTTCAGGCAATGAAAGTCCGTATTAGCCTTGTCGTATTGATCATACATGTTGTCTTTCCATTTCGAGATGGCAACCTCATCCCAGACTTGGTCTTTGCTGTCTTGCAATTTATTGTTATCGGCGTTTGTCGCAAGGGGGAGCCAGACATCAAAGTGAGATGGTGTTGCGCGAAAGAATTTGACAGTTGGGTGTGACGGAATAGTGATTGTCCATTTCTTGGTAAAGAAACTTGAGCGGTATTCTGAGGGTGGGGGTGAGGGTGAAGAGGAAGACATTGAAATAGATGCTATATATCGGCTTAATAACTGAACTTCTACCAATGGGTGAAGTATGAACTCTAGACAAGTCATTATAGACTTACTTTTTGAATATCCGATTGATATTTAAGTTGTTAATACTGCCCACAAATGAAAAAATTGACTGATAAATGAAATCACGATCAATCAAATTGTAAAGGGAGATGGGATCAAATCGACGGAGGATGATTTTAAAGCCATCAGTAGCGAAGATTGCTCTGCGTTAACAAAAGCTGTACCACGTGTTTTCAAGGATCGAGTGGAGAGTTCTATTGAAAAGTTTGATAGGGAATACAGAATCAGTATCTGATGCATGTACTATGATCTGTTGTGGACTTCGTGAATCATAACTTCCATTCCTCTCACCACCTTCCAAATTGGGCGACAAACGATATCCGTCGCTGCTGTTTTCGATCACATCGGTGACATGAACGAGAACATCAGGAGATCATGCGCAGTAGGTAGGTATGATGGTTTCTCTCAATATCGTACTCTGAAGATAGGTCAAACCACTCGTGGTAGATTGTTTCACACCTCCCTTTGTATCGGTTCTTGTTTGACTCCCATTCCGAGTATGTGCATCCCCTTCTCACATCTCACAGTAAGGTTGGTAGCAATTGAAGTATAAAGAACAGGACTTTGATCAAGCTCTGCATTTATTCAAGACAATGAGATTTGATTAGGTAGATAAGATAAGATATAAAGTTTTTCACATAATCGAGCTAAGCCACTTTAAATCTCCTAAATCACACCTAGTCTATTCCGACTGTCATCATCTCATCACTCATAATGAGTTGAAGAGATGTTTGAGAGTAAAACCTTATCACACCGGTTTCACAATCTAAATAGTCAATTCCTCCGCATTATTCAAAAGCTTTGATCTCCTAACAAAAAGAATGACTGTTCCATCACCAATACATCATCATACTCTATTTCCCATTCTCTATGCTGATTGGTCAATTCAATATCAATATCAATTAACTTCGATGACTCTTTCCCGCTCATACAATATTGGAGCAGATGCAACTTATAAGAAAGCTTCGAAGTGGAGTGAGCGGAGAAACTACACGGTACAAGCCCAGGGATAGTCAATCATCTCGATTAGAATCTGAGAACACATACAAGTCTAGATCACAATGAGTCTGACTATGACATATCACACGTAATTTTTATATCAAATTTCATCACCAATCTCGTTCTGGGAACTCGATCAGAAAAAACAGGTATTCCGACCCAGCGGGCCGGGTTGGGGGTTTAAGCCTTTTCTTATACCGACATGTGAATCTAGTTTCGGAGTTCAGTGCGAGATGTGGCTGGGATCTGGGTACTCGTTCATAGGGCCAAGTGGTGAAGCACGGAGTAGTAAGATCTTAAGTTTTACGGCGCAGGAACTATTGTTCCTGCTTACATAGTAATGTTTGAAGTATTGTTAGATTTGGAGCTATGTGATGAGAGTTTTCCCGTTTGGATGGCTGGATGCATAGATCAATTTACAAATACAATGTTGCCTGGGCTAGCTGGCGATCACGATATGACACCAGGACCACAACACCAACACCCACCATGTCAACACCGCAATTTCCCACAAAACAGTCAAAAGAAGACAAGAGATAGATTGGAAATCAGGCAGCAGATCATTAGCCCAAGAAGCCACGGAATACCTGCATATCAGACACATTCATCCGCAATCCATTCGTGTGTCTTTCGTAATGGAACTACTCATACGTAGTTCGGTATGGTTGGTACCTGCACATGCGATTTCCAGTCGATCAGTTTGTCGCGGCACAATGAATACATACATATCTATATTCGTTTGTTTGTTTGTTTGTTTGTTTGCTTTTGAGCTGATGGTATACGTGTACTCGAAACATCACCTGTCAACTTGCAGGACAATCGGGATCTCGAACAGGAATGCTTGAGCATAAGAAATGGACATCCTGATATCTGGGACTTAGAGAGTATCAAGCACAGAGCCATATGAAGAGAGAATGCTGAACAATCTCACTTTGAATAAAACAATATGATCACCCAATGAATGACGCATCTCCATGCCCCATACCCTAAGAACCCCATCCAAATTCTTCTCGCCATCCTATCCCATCCCATCCCATCCCATCCCATCCCATCCCATCCCATCCCAAACAAGCTCCCCGAGTACACCCCCTCCTCAACTTCACCTCACCGGTCCACCACCAAACCCTGAGTCATCCGGCCTCGCTCCCACATTTTTTCCATCACCGCTACAGCAAGCAAAAGCTTACCTACTCAACCACTAATAACCTAACCTTACCACCTACGGAATACAGCATCAACAAGTGGAATAAGCGAACTCCGACTATACGTGGGAGAAAAAACAGGCCGGAATTGACCAATGCGTACAGCACGTGCCAACTGCTATCAGCCAAAACTCATTTTCACACCAAAAATCAACATTTTACTATATTTTCAATTACTAAAATCTTTATGATTTATAAATAAAATTCTTTTAAATTTTATTTTCATAGAGTTTTTATAATAAAATTTGATATTTTCACTATTTTAAAATGCTCAGAAATTTATATTATCAAAATTTATATAATTGAATTAAAATATCAAAAAAGTTACTTGATTTTCGCTTATTTTACTAGTAAATCTCATTATTTTCGTAACAATACAACTTTAACTCTTTATAATTCGATCAATAAAATATTTAAAAAAAATCAATATATTTTTATTAAATTTTTAATAAAGTAAATTAATTTATATAAAAAAATTAGATTTTATTATTAATTATTAAGAAATTCATAATATAAATAGTAAGTTTTGATATGAAAACGTATTTCGGCTGATAGCAGTTGACTAGTACTGTAACACCTCTCTCTACACATTGTTTTGGTGAGGGTGCACCTACCATTGCGCAGTGGTCAATTCCGGCCTGTTTTTTCTCCCATGTATAGTCCAACCTCTTCATCACCCTATCCACACAATCCACACTCACCTTCAGCCTTATCCCAAACCCCTTCAAGCATAGCTCCTCCCTCTCAAGCATCCAACACATGCAAAGCGTGTACGCGGCCGGCCTTCTGATTGTTCTAAAAAAATTTCACACATGATTTTTTTTTTGATATGCATTGCTTGCATGGTTTGTTGGTTGGTAAGCATGCAGACTCCATATACCGTAGCTATTTTCCTTTCTCGACCGGGGCGGGTGAAAACGAGGCAAGCATGGGACGAGGAAGTTTTTTGGTTCTTTTTTGATATCTTGCTCAAAATTGCTTAGTTGCTGGATTGCTTAGCGGGCGGAGTTTGCATGAGATGAGATGAGATGGGTCGGGGTTGGGATTCTAGATTCTCGGTTTGTTGTGACTCTTTTGCTTTTTCTGGGTTCGGTTTGTTGGAGTGGAGGTACATGGACGGGTGTCATAGTTTTTTGGAGTCTGGGGTTGTGATGGATTTGAGTTGGATATATATAGAGGGAGAGATGCCTCGATTACGAAGGCTTTCCATCATCATCATCATCATCATCATCATCATCATCATCATCATCAATCAGATATAAGAAGATATTAATTCACATAAAAGTAACACAACTATCTCAACATCAAATTCATTTTTCAAAGTCACAATTCTACCATCACCAACATCTCAAACATCATCAACAGTACATTTATAAAAATGCCTGCCGGATTCCCCGCCTACCCAGCTTCGCGTATGTTTCCTCCCCCCTTCTCTATCCCATAAACACATCTAACAAACCCCAGGTTTTCCAAACGAAAAGCCCCCAACGCTCTTCCATCCCTCCTCTCCCAAATCCCCAAAAGCAACACCCGTCTCCTACTCCACCTCTAGATCCTATACTGCTACATCTTCCTCCTCTCCAAAAGATTCAATGGATACCACTACCACATACACTCCCGCAAACGATACCTCTTCACTCTACAGCACCACTTCCACCATTTCTTTTTTGAAGCATCCGCTTAGTACACTCAAAGCGAAGTTCTCGCATAAGGAGCATTCGAAGAGGGAAGCAGCCAAGTCGAACGAGAAAACCTTGATCGATCCCTCGACGCCAAGTGAGAAGACACGTACGTTCGACCCCAAAGTCTGATGTGATAGACATGAATGAAAGGGTAGGAGGAGGCTGACTTGATTGGATTGGTAGCGAGACAATCACTCACGGAGACATACATGATCATGGCTATGAAGTAATCATAGCCAGCGTTCAATTCGTATGTTTATTTGAATGGTGTTGTTACCGCAGATCCTTGGAATTTGGGGATTCTACGATATTGCTGCGACATTATATATCTTTCGGTATGGGGTTCGGTGGAGTTTGTTTTGAATCATTGGTCGCATACTGGCAGTGTCTGGATCAAAGCCAGATACTTATGAAACAATTCTATTCTGACTGAGAGCGGATTTTCTTGGGAAACGGCGTTTTGGTAGCTCTAGTTTAGTGTTGGAAATTGACTTCTTGATTTTCATATCTCGTTAGGCTTTTAATAAATAAATTTAAGTTTCTCAAAAACTATCATCAAAATCATCTTTCATCGCAACTATACTTGGACTATTGTCCAGTTCGTCGGTATTGTCAAATCCAGCTCCTGCGGTGGTCAGAAGATCTTCAACAATTCTTTTACTTGCTTCTCGTGCTATAAGCAAGTTAGCTTGCATCGTCAACGGGTCAAAAAAGGGCAATAATATACCAGGAGTCTGTAATAATCTTGATTGCGGTAGGGAAAATTGAATGGTCTTTGGAGGACTCATTCCAAGTTCCTTGTAGATATCCTCCGCATCTTCATCACTATCGCTTTCCCATGTAATCTCATCTTTCTCTTTCTTCACAGATCTGGCAAAGATATCCTTTGACTTGCCTTTCGCGGGGGTTTGAACGCTTACACCGGGAGTGCGCGGTGCATTTTGTCTATATGGTTGTCTAACCGGCGAGCTGAATATATCAGCGTGTAATTGAGGTGCTGCAGCTGGCGGTGAAGACAATGGTGAATGGTTATCTCGCCATGAGGGTTTGTTGGCAGGTGTTTTCTTTTCTTTCCGATTTGTAAGTGGTGTAGCTTGGATTCGATAATTCTTCTCTAGCATTTTAAGGTATTGAGGATCTTTTGACTTTTGAGCCGTTGATGGTATGTAAGTTTGAGCATTTGATGGTAAATCATATAAAGTCGGGTCCATTCGATATGAGGCTGGGTCAAATGGGGATGAGTCTGGTAACATTGACATATCCGGCGCCCTTTGCTTTGCTCCAGGTGTACTTGGTAGTTGTGTGTCATCTTCATCATCCTGTAATGTCGCTCCTTTAAGTTCCCTCCTCAAGTCCTCGTATGGTGATGAGAAGTCTGCAAATTGTGCTTCTTTATCCTTTCTGGGAGGAGGAGCTCGAGGTGTGCTACCACTTATGTCATTATCTTCTAACATTGAATCATCCTGATCATAAGAATGATGTCCATCATCTTCCGTTCGGACAGTTTCATCATCAACGTGCGATGCAGTATATTGGCTTGGTTCTTCGTGGGACTGGGCATATGAGACATCCTCCTCCTCCTCCTGTTGCTCTACTTGTAATAATGAGACATTGGCACTGGCTTCAAAAAATTGTTTCCAAAACTACCCCGCTATTAGTTACCTTTCAGGTATTCTCTAGATGTGCACCAACCTTTGACCCTTCCCAAACCGCATTTGAATGGTTGGCATATTGTTCAACGACCGGTAGGATACTTGTAGTAACGATGCGATGTGCTCGACTAAAGTTGTGATCAATTTCTGAGGTTGCGTTAGTAAACAAACAATGTTTTAGGAGAGAGGTGGAATCTTGCCTTGGAGAGTCAAAGTGATAGATTGCTCTAGCTTCTCAAGCTCTTCCGTAAGAGAAAGTGGTCTTGCAGACGACACACTAGCTCGAGACATACTTTTTACTGGAATTCGGTATCTCGTTCAGAGACTGGAATTTTTCGGGTTGCTGAGGGGTTGAAGCGACCGGCGCGTCACTGATTTGATTTTTACCACGCAAAAGCAAAATGATTAAATGGCGTAGCACGTGATCAAGGAGTTCTCAAGATTTGTTTACTTTAACTTTATTATATCTTTACTGCCCCCAACATTTTATACTTTCAAGATAACATGGAATTCAATGCAAATCAAGTCTACCAGTATCAATATTATATTACGATCGTTGGTGATTCCCTCCTTTGAGGTTTTGCAAAGTTTGTTTCTCTATCACATTACCTAGTATCCTATACCTACCAATGTGTTTGTTAACTGTCTAATCAGTGGTAATCAGCACTATCGATTCTGGTATAGTATACGGAGAACAGACTCCGCACTGTCCAGCATTTCCTTTCAACTTTAAGCTTAAAGGTAGAGAGATAGAGAGATAGATAGATATGGGCGATATGGATGGTATGGATAGTATGGATGGATGGTATGGATGACATGGGGAAATTGGGTGTTCCGCGTTCAGACTCCCGTCAGTTCCCGCCAGTTCGCACCAATTCTTCCCGCTCATGCAACTGTTTTGCGCTGCAACTTCTGTGCCACCTTCTCCTTTTTCTTATTCCAAGATTTCTTGTTTCTTATGGTATGCATTTACGATACAATATTGGTATTTGATTGCACAGACACAGATACGAATTCTGGCTAAGCCTGTCATCTGATCAACATCAACCCCATCGGACCTACGAGTAGGCATCAACTGATTCAACTCGAATCAGAAGCACAGACAAGAACCCCCTGGGAATTTGGATCATATCCCTTGAGGATTATCACAAATCCACTACATCCGGAAGAAGCCTTACAGCATCAGCATCAGCATCACCGTTTGGATATCTGCACTATTACTGGTGAATTCCGCAACTCTCTCCTTTTATTGACGTTATCTTTTTCGCATCGTTTATTTTGACACCCCGCTTCCCCCTCCCACCCTCCCTCAGAGTCTCAGATTTTTACAGCCTTTGCCTCCAATTGCTCAATAGGGGGAGAGCAAAGCAATCTGTTCTCGCGAGCACTTAGAAATATTGAAAGTCGATAAGTGGGCGAATTCGTTTTCCTTGTATCAAGAGTAATTCCAGACCTTCAGATCGCGATCTCTAACAGCCTAAAACATATCTTGACAATAGTCTTCAACTGCCATGACGACCATTGCCTCAAACTAGCAAAATTCTCCTCAAGAAACATGGACTGATAGGTAATATTTCACAAGCACGACAAGCATTCTATGGCTTATACTCCGTACACTACTCAGAGCAGAGAGCAGGTGGTGTGCATAAGGATTTCAACAATAGGATCACCCTTGCAGGAGCATCGACAGCTTTTATGCAGGAACTTTCGGTTTAGGTTCCACATTGCCGAGGCTCCATCTTTACCTACGATGTAACCGCCGTCTTTCAGAGATCAGCAGACAAATCATTGGGTAGACAATTTGGATATGTCTGTTACCTGCATCGTACGTACTGATATTGACGAATTTTCAAGGATAAGATGGTCGAATTAGGACACTCTACCAGTAATATAGGGGCTTCATGTACCCCTTAAAAGATCGATAATCGTTCTGCACAAGACGATTTACACTATTTTAATTCCGCATCGTACAGCTTTCAACCACTCAAGTACTGATTGTTAATATTCACACAAGTGTGCCGGTGCGGGGCTGTCCCGTTGCAGAATCACCAAGCCAACATAGAACTTACTCGCTTGATGTTTTGCAATTAAAAAAGTCAGATTTCAGAGTTCGAACACATCCAAACAATATCGAGAGATAACAAAAAACAAACAAAAAGACTTCATCCATCCATCTCAAACTACCTCCAAGTCTCAAACTGGGGCAATCCGTGCGTCACAAGCCAAGGGACCCTATTCATTTATCTTCGGTTCGAGTTCACAGATGAAAATTAAAGCTAACTTCTAATTTCTAAGTTCTGAGTTCTCACGCTTTTATAGTTCCAAGATTATTTAAGCGGCATCCAGTAAGATTTTGGGAAATTAATTTTAAGCGGTCTAAACCATACCTTGTCTGCTATGTTTAGACTGTAGACTACGGAATTGACATGGGAGAAACCCTCTTCTCCAAAACTATTCAGCCAGTTTGGTCTCTGAGCGCTATGGGGAACGTGAAGTCTATTTATCCATGTCGCGGCCTTGTCAAGACCTTGTCACCGCGTGGACCTGGGTACTCTGTAAGAGAGAAGTTTTGTTTTTCTTATACAGCACGATGTACTTTCCTTCACTTTATCCAGTGACACTCCTTCACTACGTTTGTGTGCTCTCACATTTTCTTATGCTGTTTCATTTCTATCGTCATTCCTTGCATTCCTTCCTTTAAATGCTTTCCTCAGATATATCGAATCCTATTGTGTGTTGAGTTTTCTCGCATATAGGAGCTCGGTTGACATATTGTTAATTGCTTACAACGTCCTCCCCATCTCATCCGAAGAATCTCACTCGATATCAGGTCCACCCCTCTTATGATGCCTGTTCCGATCATAACAATTTGCGAAATTCACTGTCACTCACTGAATCAATCGTGATTTGCTGACTCGACTTTTCACCTTTGGATTTGTTTACATCGACCAAAAGCTCATTTTTCCACGACCACCACGACATATCACGAACACCACCAACGTACTTGCGAATCGAATTCACTTCAACGTTATCTGCTCAAGAACTTGCAGTACTACTCTTCGATCCAGGATATCGAGACAATTGCGAGAATTCGAAGCTTGGCTCAATTGAGCTCTCCGAGCCACGATCTAGGGTTCTGGTTTCCAGAATCATATAAATTACGTAGGAAGCTTGGATAATCTTGACAATGTCAGTAGTTCTGGGAATGAGTTCTATGGGAGAGAGCATTAGCAATGATGAATCGTCATCGTCGTCCAATGCGCTCGGTCGCCGCGTTCGTCCACCACCAATAAATACAAGTAACTCAGAGGAAGGCAGAGTTCCTCTGGGCGGTCGAAAAGTTAATCGTAAGGAGTCGAAAGGTGGTCTCCGAGGAATTTTCACCCGCAATAAATCTGAAAAGAATGTGGTATCGCCAGTGTTTGAAGAACACAAGCCAGCTCCATCAGTCACATCACCAACGCCACTTTCACCAAAGCTGATGAGTCCAATCACAAGTCCTGTGGGAGATGGATTTTTTCGAAAGTTTGCTACGGGCAATGCGACTGAATCGTCGTCTCCAACTACACCAGCAACACCAGGGAGAGCTACTAGGACCCCATCTCGTTTGAATCTCAGAGCCAAATCGATCATGGACGGCAAAACTGCCGCCAAACCTGCATCGAAACCCACCCCAAAAACCTCGGTATTTGATCCACCGCCATTATTTCAAAGTTATCCTCAATCTGTAAAGCATGCTCGTCTTTCTGCTTTAACTTTATCAGCCGATGCCATTATCCGCATGTCGAATCACAAAAGGAATACCAGCCTACGAGATGAAATAGCACAAACAACAGAAATTGGGCCGGATGGGAAGAACATAACAATCAAACACAAAAGGCAAAGGTCAGGTTCAATATCCAAAGGTGAATGGACTCAAAAGATTTTTGTTTTGGTAACTTCCGGTTATCTTCTACAATATTCAGGCGAGGGAAATTTCGATCGATTGCCAGAAAAGATGATTCAATTGGGCAAGGAGTCTGTAGCTTTTGCATCAGACGTTATTCCTGGCAAACATTGGGTATTACAAGTATCTCAATCAATGAGTGCAGATGGAGTTCCAACGTCAGACTCTAGGTCTTTATTATCAAGACTTGCATTCAGAAGTGCAGATTACCGGAGAAATGCTACCAGTCTTCTGCTTGTCTTGGATAGTGCCGAAGAAATGGATGCTTGGATTGCTGTACTGAGGAAAGAAATTGAAACACTTGGAGGCAAAAAGCAGATTACGGAAATCGGAACTGTGAAGACAGAGGAGAACCCACCGGAATTGAAGAGTCAACCAAGTCATCGATATCTTGCTCAAAGAAGAGGCTCGGATCAAGTTTCTATTCCATGCTCACCACATCGAGCTTCTAGTGATCGCCGTCCCTCGTGGCAGCAACCAGAGGGGCAAAATATAGAATTGGCTTTACCGTGGTCAACTCCCCGTGAACGTCGTCCCTCTTGGCAGCCAGAAGAACAGAATATTGAGGAGATATCCTTACCTGAGCCCCTTCCACGTTGGTCACTACACGAAGCCCAAAGTGAAGCAGCTAACAGACCAACGACCGGGTGTGCATCAGTTACAAATAGTTCTAGTTCATATGAACAAAATTCAGAGGGTTTACGGGATAGTTTCAATAGATTGTCATATTGCTCGTCCGATCAACGAACTTACATCTCGTCTCCAGCAACGTCGCCAACTAGGGATAGTACCTCTACCATGGAAGACCTGCCTCCTTTATCTCTGGATGCAGTACGAGCAAGGCCGAATGCAGCAGAGATCGTTGAACGCAGAAGATCATTACAAACACTTCAAGGGGTACGGGATCCTATATCTCAAGTATCATCTCACCTTCAAAGTCCCCAGCAAACCTTGCGACAATCAAATTACGGTGTAACTTCCCGAACTATGAGAAGCCCATCGCCTGCAACACCAAATTTTAGCGTACCTGTCTCTTCAAGTAAGAGATTTTCAACTAGGACTCCGGCTGCGGAAAGACGACCATCGCTTCCTGCAATGAATCTAACCATGGAGACTCAGAAGAGAAACAAAAAGGGACCTCCAACGGCACTGTCCGTGGCTAGACCCTTGTCTCCTGTTATGGATACAACATCACCGAAACGAGTTCCGATACCTGTCACCTCTACCGAAACTTCACAGCGACCTTTTCAACGAACTAGATCATCGACAGTGGATACCAAATCACGCTCTCCAGCACGGTCTCCAATTGGAAAGCGATCAAGCAAAGAATTAAGGTCCGCTCGACGTGTCTCTAGTTTTACGCCATCAAACAATACATTAGAAGTTCGCGACCCAGATTTA